CGTGGTGGTGGAACATCGCAGTCCAAACTAAGGTGAAGACAAAGCAAACTTGCTTCAAGGAGTTTCTATAATGCAATGACAATGAAGAAAGATCGAGAGCTAAACAAAGATACAAGGAGGCAAAACGAGAAGCTAAGAAAACAATGGCTAAAGCAAATGATAAGGCATATGAGGAAATGTACAAGAGATTAGACACCAAAAGGACAAAACGACATCTTTAGGCTTGCAAAATCCATGGAGAATAGGAAAAAGGATCTAGGTAGCATTAGGTTTATTAAGGACAACAATTGTGTTCTTTTAGTGAAAGATCATGATATTAAGAGGGTTTGGGGTAGTTACTTCTTTGGCTTATTTAATAACAGTGCCTCTTTCTATAGAGATAGTAACGTTTTTGGGTCAGCCGACCATCATACTACGACCAATGATTGCCATACATGTAGGATTGGGATTGAGGAAGTCAAAATGACCTTTAGAAATATGGGGAGGGACAAAGCTGTCGGTCTAGATTAAATTCCTATCACTGTGTGGTTGACCCTAGGAGATGAGGGAGTTAAGTGGTTGACCAATATCTTTAATATTATTTTAGAGACTGCCAAGATGCCAGAGGAGTGGAGAGAGTCTACGGTGATACCAATCTATAAGAATAAAGGAGATCCCCAACGTTGTGGTAGCTACAGAGGTATTAAACTATTCAGTCATACCATGATGCTATGGGAAAGGGTGATAGAGGCTAGGTTGAGACAGGTTACTAGGGTTTCGGAAAACCAATTTGGTTTATGCCAGGCAGGTCGACTACGGAGGCGATTCATCTTCTTCGACGGCTTATGGAGAAATATAAGGAAAAAATAGAGATATTCGCATGGCGTTCATTGACCTTGAGAAGGCATATGATAGCGTACCCCGCGATACGATCTGAAAGACCTTGGAAACGAGACGGATACCAACTGCTTATATCCGGGCGATTCGTGATATGTACTGTAGATCTACTACATACGTCAGGACTACAGTTGGCGACACCGAGGCATTCCCGGTGGAAATCAGACTCACCAGGGGTCGGCTCTTAGCCCTTACATCTTCGCCTTGATTATGGACTTCATCTATTGTGCGACACCAGGCGGTGTTCCATGGTGTATGCTTTTCACTGACGACATTGTCCTAGTTACTGAAATAAAAAATGAGCTGAATAGTAGACTGGCTACCTGGAAGACTGCTTTAGAAGAAAAAAGTTCTAAGGATCAATATTGAAAAGACAAAGTATTTATGTTCAAACTTCAGTGGGAACCAAAACGATGAAGATGTAGAAGTATGCATTGAAGGACATGTTCTCCCCTCAAAGGATTGTTTCAAGTACCTAGGGTCTATGATACATAAAGATGAGGGTGTAGATGATGATGTTACACACTGTATAAAGGCGGGATGGCTAAAGTGGAGGGCTGCTACTGGGGTTTTGTGTGACAAGAAGGTGCCTCTAAAACTTAAGGGAAAATTTTATAGAATGGCAATAAGACCAGCGCTGCTATATGGATCAGAATGTTGGGCAATCAAGAAGGATCACGTAAGGAGGATGGAGGCCACAGAGATGAGAATGCTTCGATGGGCATGTGGTAGGACTCTGTGGGACATGACACCAAACTCTACAATTAGGATGTCATTGGGGGTGGTTCCTGTATCCGAAAAATTGAGGGAGGGAATACTACGATGGTTTGGGCATGTCCTTAGGTGATAACCGTCGGATGCGGTCAAGAGGGTAGAGTCGATTACAGCCGACGGTGCTAGAAGGAGATGACGACCAAGGAGGAAGTGGGTAGACTGCTTGAGATATGATTTGAAGGATTTATCTCTTACAGAGGACATGACCTCTGACAGGAAAGTATGGAGACTTAAGACCAAGGTAGCCGAGTAGTGTGGGTCATAGCCATAGGGTGTAGCATCTCTGTCTACTTTTTAATGCCTTTGTAGTAATTTCCATGACTTTTACTTTTTATATGTTTCTATCATTGGAATTTATGAAGGCTTAGAACTAGGGTAGCGGAGTAGTGTTGCATTAGTTTAGGTTTTAACCCATTTGACTTTATTCCTTCTCGTACTTTGCTATCGCTAACTACTGTGTATCATTCTCTTCATGTTTCCTCTTTTTTAATTTAATCGAGAGTTACGTTTCTGTCTATATACAGAGATTTTTACGCAGGATTTATTTGTAGGGATAACTTCCTATTACAGACGCACATATGAAGACTGTATATGAAGACTGTTCACCTATGTATTTATTTATTTATTTATACATGCATTGTATTTTATATTTATTTTCAAGTTTCTGACTGCCGGAGGTCTTCCACGGAAGCTGCTCTCAACCTGACGTTGGGGGTAGCTTACTACCCTACCTCCCTTTTACCCCATTACATATAGGAATAGGGTTTTATTGTTGTTGTTGTAAAGTGTACAAATAGTCACTCAATTATAGGACATTTCATTGTTGACTCTCTCGATTATTAAAAATTATAAAATAGTTAGGCAACTATTTATATGTTTCAACTTATTATTTTCCGTTAAAAATTCGGTAATCGACTGAGCTAGCCATTAACGTACTGACCGAGATATGATAAATCATATTATAATGATGTCTATTGGTACTGTTATTACTCTCAAGCACTAGCTCGACGACATAATGTTTCAAGCATTAACTCGACGATATAATGTAAATAGGGAATTGATCCACAAAATTTAGCTCAAACGATTTTAGGATCATAATTTATAATATTCTAGTTAATATATTAATGTCAAGCTCAGACGGTCGTTAATCTTTAACAAAAAAGACAAATTTATAATATATGAATAGTTGAGTTATATTTTATAACTTTTAATATTGTATTACTCAATAAAATAACATCCTCTCATTTTATAATTTTTAATAATAGATAAATTTAACAAAACAGAAGTTATAATCGAGGATTATTTATCTACTTATCTTAAATGAATTGACATATGTTTTATAGATATTATTATTGTAAACCGACTGGTCTAAAGAAAATATGTAATTTTTTATTGTAATTTAGTCTTCTTCCCTGTCTGGTTTTTCTACATTTGTGGCTCACAGTAACAGGCAAGCAGACGTTCTGGCAAAATCTAGTAACCATATAGACATTGAAAATTCCAACTCTATTTCTTGCCATATAAATTCTAGCAAAATCTAGAAACAAGACGAATGCACATACTAACTCAACTCTACGCATGACACGTGTGAATCATACTCATTTAGCTCTAAGTCACTGGTGCATAGGGTGCCACGTTATAAGGGTTGAATCGATAGGATTATCAAACATTCCGGTGCGACCAACGACCATTAGATTATTTAAATCCAACGAATTTCAGTCTATTTTGAATTTGATTTCTTTTTATAAAAAATATATTTTTAATTTTTTTTTCTTTTTATATAAATAAATGTAACTAATTTTATTAAGTAATTTAAATTCACAGTGAAAATTTACAATTTAAATTATAAATTAAACACATAATTAAGATATTATCTAATCATTAACATAATAAATTAGTCATTTTAATCATATAAATATCATACAAGAAAAGTGAGAAAATTCATCTAAACAGACTCGAACAAAATATAAATATAAACATATATGTCTGTTATAATAAATGAACCACAATATAAAAATAAAACTACTAAAAACCATTAATAAATATAAATCAAAGTCAAGCATAATGAAAAACTATCTATAAATTCTTTTAATAGAATTCAAGTGTTGTACATTCTTTCATTAGAGTATGTTAAACTAGAACTCAAGTGTTAATTTTTTTTCTCTTGATAAATTTAAAATAAATGTAAAGTAGTATATGTTTAAATATTTTTAACTTTTCAATGAATGTTTCTACTTTTGTATATGTAGTGCTCGAACTCGAGATCTCAATAAATAATAATAAATCTCATAATCACGAAAATTGTTTGGTTCGTGCGAATTCAAATGTAATTATAAGTGACTATATTATTAAATTAAGTACAATTAAAATACGAATATATTTATTAGTTTTATAAGGGATGATTGTTATCTTTAGAGGTTTCGAGTTCGATACATCATCTGCATGGGTGTTTGAGCGTTCATTGTCAAATAATTTGAGAATTTTTGGAACATATATTACCTTGTAATCATCTCAGACTAATAAATTTTTTTTATTGAAAATGTATAAAATAGTATTTTATTTAATTAAATTAGTTGAACTTAAAATAATTAATATTTTTAAATAATAAGATTATATTATAATTAATAAAAATATAATTATATCGTGGATAATGATAATTTTTTAAAATTATTTAGGTTGATGAGAACAAATGAATTACGATGGTTATAGATAATTTATCTCTTTTAGTTTAGACAGAGATTTGCAGTCGTTGAGAGAACGATTGTTGATCAATGTTAATGTAATTTATCTTTATAATAAGATGACAGAGAAGTATGTGAAGGTAAAATGATTCTCTCATCTCGATTTTAGTTGATAAATTTTATAATAATTCTTAAAGTTAGTGTCAAGTGTAGAGATATAATAATTATTTGTAAGGCAATAAATTAAATAAACATAATCAAATAATAATAAATTTAACTCTAATATATTATATGAGTTTACAAAAATCATATTAACATATCAAAGATTTTGACAATTGTTACATTTTAGTATTGTATAAGGGTTAATCTTATCATATTAATGTATAAATGACAATAAGAATATTTTGTTTATATTTTTACAATAAATAATAAAATAATTATTATCTAATCATTGACTAAATTATCTCAAATGACGGATATAATTTCCAATTATTGTTTATCTTCTTGTTCTCATTATATTTTAAAATTTATTTATTATTATTCTATTAGTTTCATCATCATCATCTGTCTTCTAAATATATAAAAGCAGAACCAGATTGCTTCTTTTACCCCATTAAAAAATCTCTCTTTCCGTCCTCTCTCTCTCTTAAATTATTATATATTGTTTATTTAGAAGAAGTTCATCAGATAATCCATTCAGAAACAAAAATAAAAGCTTCCTCTGCTTTTTAAAAAAAGTTCCAATAGAGGAGAATTATCAGCTAACTGGTACGCTATCCAAACTTTTCTACATCAAATTACTGTATTTTCCTTTATCTTTTCTGGGTATGATTCTGTTTTGAAGTTTGAATTGATCATCTTTACATCCCATGAATCTCTGTTTCAAAGACTCCCTGTTTTCTCTTTGAACTTTACATAATCCAGTTATGAAGAGGATGGTTGATTTTCTTACCATTAAGCCTTTTTCTAGACTCGGGTGATTTCAATCTTCCTTGAAAAAAGAGAACTTTTTGTTTTTTTGTTTCCTTGATATCCTCACCTGGTTCAATGTTCATAAAGCAGCAAAAAGCTGCATCTGGGATGTCTGTCAATTTGACATGACAAGGTTAAATGTGGTGTTTTTTGTTGTTGTTAAGAAATTGATGTTTGGTTTTCTATGTTCTTGAAAATAAATTAATAAAAAAGAGTTCGTTTTGAGGTAACCCCACCAATGGAAGATGAGTTCTATTGAAGTAATTAGAGGAGAACTGGTGGTTGAGTTGATCAAGTGTTTGATGGTAGATTCTGTGGTCGAGTTCACCAGTTCTTACCAACCACGAGTTATATCTATATAACACGGTTTCATAAAGATGAAGCTATGGGAAATTTGTACTAATTCTCCACCAAATTTGACAGATTTTGGCAGCAAATGGCCATGGAGCAGTGCTTGGAGAAGTGGAATGATTCGCCGGTTTCGAATGATAATCCAACGAGTGCCTTCGACTGCAACATCTGCCTCGACTCGGTGCAGGATCCGGTGGTCACGCTTTGTGGCCACCTCTATTGCTGGCCTTGCATCTACAAATGGCTTCATTTTGAGACCATCTCGGATGACAACCAAGGCCGGAAACAGCACCAATGTCCTGTATGCAAATCTGATGTTTCGGATGCCACATTGATTCCGCTCTACGGCCGGGGCGTAACAACAAAGGAATCTAAGACTGAGACTTCCCGTTTCGGTATGGATATACCGAAACGACCTCTCGGTCCTACTTGCGGCGTTGGCAGGATACAACGATTGCCAAATTCTAACAATAGTTCGCAGTTTCATCATCATGGATATTCATATCAACCACAAGTGTACTACCCCGGTCAGGCTGGTTATCCAGCTTCGCCGATACTAAGTCCTGGTGGCATGTCGATAAATGTACCGGATCCAGCGATCCGAATGTTCGGCGAAATGCTATACGCTAGAGTATTTGGGGACTCGGATACAAACTTTTATACGTATCCGGGTTCGTACAATCTAGCGGGGATCACTAGTCCTAGAATCAGACGGCACGTAATGCAAGCCGATAAATCACTGGGCAGAATAAGTTTTTTCCTCTTCTGCTGCTTATTCCTGTGTCTACTTTTGTTCTGAACTTCCTTCTAAGCTTCCATTTCGGACACTGTATAGAAAGATCCGATTATGTATACAAATTCGGAAACCCAATGTACTAATATGAAAAGCGATGTGTAATTACAAGTTACGAGCAAATATTTTTCTTCATGTTCTTCAGATTATATTCCGACATTACAAATAAATTTATAAACGACACCATTCGTCAATCAATAAAATTAATGATTAATAAATATGAATTGATTTAATAAAACAATAATTTAAGTAATTTGATCACCTATTCCATCATTAAAACATTACAATTCCCTGATTTGTGAAAGGTGAGCTTTCACATCATATGAATCAACTTACAAAATGATCTCGTTAGGCATTGTTAGATGCTTCTCTTCTAAGGTAGCATACCTTATTTGTTTGAAAAGGGCTCTCCACCGACCTATGAGATAGATTAATTAGCATGAGACGCAATTAGCATGTATTTTTTGATGTTTCACTATGGTAAATTGTAAAATATGATTATTTATTTAAATTGAATTGAATAAACTAATAGCTCAGAAAATAATAAAATAAACTATGGAAATATCAAGACAAATAAAAAGCGTAACGTACCACTTTATGACGCTTTTCAGGGGATAAGTGTAATATCATTCCACTGATTATCAAAAAATTAAAAAATACATGTGTAGTAAATAAAGGATCATATTATTTATTAACGACATAAAAAAATAGATAAGATATGTCAAACATTGAATCTGATTTTTGATTTGATTCAGCCAATAAATTGATCATAAGATAAACACACAGCAGAGATGCAAGAAATTCATACCTTCAAATTCCCTTTGAAAATAGGTAAACTAATTTTTTTATCACTTAATTTTACTAATATTTATAGTTTAGTCAATTGTCTTTATCAAATTTTCATTTCAACATTAAACTTTTGAATTTCACTTATTTTGGTCACTTGACCGTTAAGTGTCTAACGTCAACACCAAAATATTGTGTTTTGCGGTTTTTTACTTATAAATTTCCCCCAAAAATTTTACCTTTTCTCCATGGTCAAATTCATTCTTCATTGTCATTTAACTATTAGTGACCGTCGTTTATGATATAACTGGTATAAAAATGTTCTCCTTTCTCCCCCTTTCTTCTTCTTAGTTTGGGTTTTCTCAATATCCACTCAAAATTGATAAACTCAATTCAAACCTTCAACTTTATCTTGGTTCGATTTGTATTCTTCATCGTCTAATCCGTGTGAAATTAAGTTAATTTCTTTTCTCCTCATTCTCGACCCCCTACCATTCGAATTTAGAAAAATATATTCCAATATCGTTGAAACAATGGGGAGTATGAAAATATGGTTTTTTGAAAAGAAAATTTCAAGACAGAAATTTATCCAAAAAATTTAAAGAAATTTAAAGACCTAAATATGAGCAAAATTCAAAAATTCATTGACGAGGATAAAAAGGTTTAAAGTTAATTTACCAAAACAGAAATATGGATAAAATTAAATGACCAATAAAATAGTTTATCCTTAAAAATAATAGGGTTAATCCAAAGCCCTCCTCTATGACTGTAAGTGAATATATATGTGCTTTAGAAAATGGGCTTCAAAGAAGCCACTGTAAGTGTATTGGATTGAAAATTAAAAGTAAGATTGATTTGATATTGGGTCCAGTTTTTAACACATGATTACATATTATTTAGTGGAATGCTCCATTTACATGTTGGGACGAAGCCAGATTATAGATCGGGAGAAATAAAGTATAATATTTTAAAAATAAGAAGATAATTTATAATTATTTTATAAATATTTAAATTATATATATATATATATTAAATATACATAAAATATTGTAGGGTTAGAGGGCTACAATTATGAGTGTGTGAAAAGATTCTATCAGATATGTTGATTTGTTGATCGAATCTAAAAATTTGAATATTCGATCTAGTTTTTTGATTTTCGAATAATTCAGATTGGATAATTGGATCCGATACGGATCAATTAAGTTCTAATTTCGAATTATTGGAAAATCCAAAAAAATTGGGCTTTTAGATTTTAAATTGCCTTTAACCCAATAAATGAGTAATTCACAACCCATTAAAGCTCTAACCCAATAAAAATTAAGATTAAAAATTAAGATATTTAATTATTTATTGTGTATTAATAATTATATATATAGCAGATATATTGAATAAGTTAGATTAAGTCACAAAATATTTTTTTTAAATTAAATTTTATATTGAAATCCGGATATCATCCAAAATTTTATATATCCGTTTTTTCCAGATTGAATACAAATCACTATTTTAGATATTCAAATTTTCAGATATTCGAATTTTTAGATCAAATTGAATATTGTTCTTTCGAAAAAAAATTACGTTAGCACTTAAACTAGAATGAAGAAGTAGGAAAAGAACGAAGAAAAAGCAAAAACAATGGTTGTGGCTGAGAAGAAGGAAGAAAAACAATGGTAGGCTTAAAGAAAAAGAACCCAAGACTTTTTTCGCATGTTAAATAAGCATTTAACAGTTCAGCTCGATTTTCTGTCACTTTTAGTAACATCGTTTAATGTCGAATGATAAATTTATTATAAATTAATAATATTAATAATCAATTTATTACTTTTAAAATTTTAATATAAAAAATAAAAGTTTACTCAAATATTAATGATCATTTATGTTATTTACCCTAACATATATCTCTACGTTAGTATTTTTTTTTTTGAACTGAACCTTTACGTGAGTGTCTAATATATTTATATACCATGTATATTATATCTAACGCTCTACTTGAATCAGTGTCAACATTATTCTATTTTAATCGATCCGTTAATATTTTGTTAATTTTATTGGTTAACAAATTAATATACTTTTTAAAATTCTTGAGAATTAAATGTCACAAGTTCAATCCTTGGGACCTTAAGAAACATATTGAATTTTTTAAGTCACATGTTCAATTTTCATTACCTCCAAAAATCAATTCATATAACGACTTGTTAACAAAAAGATTTAAATGAACTGATATTGATAGTTTGAGGATTGGCATAAAATATTATAAAGTTTAGAGATTAATTTAAAATAAAGATCATAATTTGAGATATCTAGCATAAATTTTAGTGATTAATTTAGAATCAGAATCATAATTTGATACATCTTGTGTAATTTTAAATAATTTTGATATTTTTAATTGAGTTAATTGTATCGTATGTCCCCAGATTACAATCCTCATTTAAATTGGTTTTTAAAGTTTTGAGTATTCTATTTTCACCTCTAAACTATGACTCTTTTTTAATTAATCCTTAAACTTTTAGCAACAAAAGTTCAATCACCTTTACAATTTCTAGTATTCGAACATGGAACTTCTAAAAGTAACCGACATTCTTTTAACTACTGGTTGTTGATGATGAATGGGTTTCGTTCGCCGGATGCTTCGGAGCTGTTGGAGGCGAGAGACGTGCGCCGTGAAACTCGGAGATAAACGTGAGGCGTGGGAACCTGGGTTGACTGTTGCGGTGCTGCTTGGGATGCTAGGGTTCTGGAAACCCTAGCCTGCGTGTATGTTGGGCCTGGACCACTGTGCGCTGTTGGGCCACATGTAACCTGGTTTCGGGCATGCAAATGTGAAAATGAGATTAATAATATTATTTATATATACATAATATAATGTCGAAAATCATGTGTCTACACATTAAAGGATGGTTTAGTCCGAATATGTTTAACAAAATTTAATTTTGACTAATATCGTAATTAATTGGTCAAAGGTGGTTAAATAAGAATGGGTGGTGGAGGGTTCAATTAATCTAATGAGGATAGAGTGAGACGTGGAAGATTGTTGATCGCATGAAATCAGAAAAGTCGTCGGACGACGGTGATCAAGCTTTGGTCTGCTACGTCTGGTAGCCTATCCATGCTGACCTCTGAATTTGACTACAATTTCATTTTTTATCCCATCTCACACAATCTCCTATATTTTATATACACCAACATTCAACACTTTATTTATTTTTCACGTAATGACAAAATTAACATATAATATTTGTATAAATAGTAATTTATACAATCATCTATATTTACGCACAAATCAAATAGCTTTCATGGTAAAAAAATTGTTGATACTCCTGAAGACTCGGATTCGAGCACCATAGATGTTAGGGATGTGAGCGTTCAACGTTAAAAAGTTAAAGAGTTATCTTTGAACAAATACTACATTGTACTTATCACAGATTAATAAAAAACGCTTTATTTATTTTTCACGTAATGATAAAAATAACATATGATATATGTATAAATAGTTATTTTAATTTTTTATAACATTTTCAATTATAGCCTAAAATGATATTTAATCCAATTAAACTTATATATCTTTGGTAACATATTAAATGCGATTCGATACTTATTTCACGATAAATATTGATACTTGTAGTTACAACCTAAAATGTTATCCAATACAACTTAAAATATTATATCTTTGATGACATCTAAAATGTCATTCAATATAACCTAAAATGTTATATCTTTGGTGATATTTTTTATTGCAACATAAAATGTTAAATACGATTCAATACTTATTTCATGATAAGTATTGATACTTGTTACTAAATGTCAATACTTGTTACTAAATATCGATACTTATCAGTATGATCAGTTTGCCGGTTATACTATTTCTTTATATTTTGTACGATTGCAACTAAAATTATTATAAATAAGATCACATTTCCAATCACACCCAACTTATATTATTACTGTTCTTCTCATATTTCTTATCGCATCTCCTTTCAACATTTTTTTAAGTCTTAAATTAGACTTTAAAACTTTCTCCCATGTGCGTGCACCATTAATTCTTTGGCAGGGGGGACCCCGGCCGGCCTTGGCTCCATTTAATTTATGCATGAACCGTTGACCGGCTTCGTAATATAAAAAAGATTGAGCCTTGACCGCCATGGAAGCCGCCGTCGGGCAACCGGTTTTGGCTCATTTCAACGCCGTCTTTCAGCCAACTTTGTGCATCTCAGGATCTTTGGGGATTTCAGTTTTGGCTTCTGGAAACGCTTAATTTTATGAAAATGAACAAGGATAAAATAAACTTAAGATCACTTAATTATTAATTCATTATGAATAAGTTATTTTTTTTGTTTAAAAAAGTTATAGTTTAGCGGCTCAATTAAAAAATTATAAATATATCACTGATACTGGACGAAGTAGTGACGTGATCTGATATAATAACAATCTTAATCCCGAAATTAACATGTTCTATCAATTTGGTCTTAATTCGACAATTTAACCCTTCATGTTTAAAAATTATATCAATTTAATCTTTGTTTTTCTCTAAAAAAATGTTAACTTTCATGTCGTTTTCCCGGATAATAACAATTTAACAATAACTTGTTGTTACTTTATGGTAGAATGTGATTATCCAACTGTTGTTTTGATCTAATAGACTCGTTTGATTTGATAATATTACAAAAAGAATTAAATTAATGAAAATTTTAAATATGAAAAGTTAAATTCATTAAATTATTTCAAATAAAGACTAAATTGATAGAATAAATATGAAAATTTTAAGGATTAAAATTATTATTATATTGAGCTCATTAGAAGTTTGCTTCAATTTTAACAACATAATAACTTGTTTGTAATAATATTTTAATTGAATGATTAAATTGTAACTTTTAGAAGAAGACAAAATGACCCGTTTGTAAGCTAACTAATACTTGAGTGACCTGAGATGTATTTTACCTAATGAACAATTATGCACAAAAGTGTTTGGATAATTGACAAAAAGGGTATAGAAAGTTTGAAACTCTTTCTTTTGCACGCCAGAAGAGTTGCGGATTCAAATGTAAGACATGCTGCATGTCGAAATCTAAACCCTAAATTCTAAACCAATCGAATTAAACTCGATGTTTAATGTTTGAAATTCTTGAATCCACTAAATTTTCTCCATCCGATCAAGCTGGATAAGATGAGAGCAGATTGGTTGGTATGCAAGGAGAATTCATCCATAGTTTGGCATGCAATTTGAGCACCTCTCTGGCTTTCTCTTTAGTCTTGTGCCCACATTCCGTCTGTAACACCAAGCACAATTTAGCCACGATCCCCAACTGCACCATCTCTTGAACCACATCACATGTGCCACAGAACTTGGAAATACACCACAGAATCCTCACTGCCCTCTGGTTTGCAACCTGAGAAACCCTAAGTATCTTCTTGGAAACGACGGCGAGCCCCACTCCGTGATTTAGCAGCTCCGACCGGCCTTCCGCGCATCGGCAAACTTCATCCAGCACTGTTAGTATCATTTCACAAGCCCTTCTATGTGAGACCGCACCGGAAGACTCGATGCACCGCTTGTTCGTATCATTCTCGGAAGCGATAAATCGAAGCCGGACAAGACACTTCATCTGCTGCAACGGTGACTTGGCATCATCGAGGAGTTTCGTAATCTGATCTTTTGTGATGGGTGGCTTCGGGGTCGGGATTCGTTCAATGCCATGGCAAGCATTTAAAGTGCACCAAGATTGTATCAATCTCCTCAGGGTATGATTGGGGACAAGTTCACAATCTGAAATAGCTTGTTTCGTAACCGGACACGCAGTGTTCTTCTTACCGGAAATCAGCCATTTCTCGATGTTTTCCCTGTCGTAAGTAATTCCAGTCGGGACCGTGACGGGATCCTTCATAATCTCCAGGGAGATAGGGCAGATAAAAAATGGAGGAACATCGATTTCATCCATTTTGAAAACAACCCAAAGAAGAGAAAGTAGTTGATCAAATTTGGAGGTTTTGAAGATTTAGTTGAGGATTTAGGAATTGAGAAGGATTAGATTATATATATATGGGTGGCCTGAGAAAGGTTGACTTTTCCAAGCAATGGAAAGGCTCAAGGATGACAACTATAACTGCTACAGCTAAAGCTACAACTGCAATTTGCTTGGTCCAGGTTTCTTTTTAGCATACGATTCAATACATTTGCAAATACTCATCATAAATGAAATAATTAATAATAAAAAAAAAGTCAATCTCCTCTCTATTACTTTTTCCTCCACAAATAAGCAACCAGATTTGAATTTCAGTACTCTAACTTGATTGATGATTTATAAGGAGTATTCTTTTTTCTTATGATCATTAGCATTTGATTTAGTAATTGATTAATCTGAATTAGATGTTATAAAATTTTATAAAGAATGATTTCTCTTAATTAATTTTATTTATTTACAATCTCATAATTTGAACGTACATATTCATATCATTTGACTAACCGATACTTGGTACGATAAAGTACACAAATGATCCTTCAACTATAGGGCGTTGCTTTATTGAGTCTGTTGACTATTAAAAGTTTCAAAATGATCTTCTGACTACAGAGTAATATTTTGTTGAGTCACTCGACTATATATATGTTCTAAACTCGTCATTTTTCGTTAAAATTTGAAGGTTGTTTGAGCTGGACGTTAACATGTTAACTAGGATATGATATAATATGAACCCAAAACCGTTTTAATTATATTTTTTGGGTCGACTCTCCATTTACATTATGTTGTCGAGTCAATGCTTGAAGCATTATGTCGTAAAACCAGAGCTTGACAGCAATGGAGATGCTAGCAGACATCATTAAAATATAATTTTATCACATTCCACTCAATAAGTTACCGTTAATTTTTTAACGAGAAAAGATGAGTGTGGGATGTATATATAGTCAGGAAACTCGACAAAACAATACTTTATAATCGGAACCATTTGTATATTTTACCCTACTTAACGTCTATAAATATCACTTTTAAGTCTTTATAAAATATGATAAGATACCCTACCTCTAAACTAAAGTGATTTTCCTTCTATAAATAACAACAATGTTTAAGGTTAAAATTTAACGTAGAAGCATGTAACAATAGTTTTGTTTGTAATTTAAATTTAAAATAAATACTTTTGTTTCTAGAAAAACTTGGTTTGATGCTGAAGCTCGCGCATTTTTACTTTTACTCAGAAAAGGAAAACGCCGTCAATGGCCGACATTTTCAAATTGGGAATGCCAATTTGGCTGGCTGCGTCTGCAACACTTATTGGTTTCTACTTTGCCTTCGGTCTCGGTTGTCCACCTCTTTTGACCCACCGGAATCTGTATGTTAGGTTCTGGTGTTTTAGAATAGGTCAAAGTCATTTAATTTTGGGTCAATTATCCCGTAATTAACTAACAAGCTTTAAGTAGTTTTGGTTTAATGATCAAAGAATAGAGATTTCTCGTTTATTCAAGGACTGACCGAGACGAAAACTTATACCGTCTTCTTCGAAACATAAACTGGCATTCCGATAACCATTGGTCATCGGCATCATTTGATGCCGCCATGAATGCTATATCATGTCTCGAAACACATGCAGAGAAATGACTGAAGAACTTCCTAAGAGTGTTTCACTAGCTAAGGAACCAAGCAAGTTGAATCCAACATTGATTCTATGATGCAGAGAGCAAATCTTAACAAAGCACAACAAAAGAAAGTGAACGATCTTTGACGGTATATATTGAAGATTGGTACAAACATGTTCTTTTCGATCAGTTTATGATTTGTCCGGAGAAATTGAATATCGATACAGGGAAGTATTAGACTAGAATCCAATCTATATGTCTAACATGAATACTACTAAATTCTCATGGATCTAGAGATAAACAAAAATAATCTATGCGAAGATGCAGAGAGCAAAAATAATTTCAGACATGCTTCTCACTGTAATGATACACCTCAAATGACACTATGGTTCCTCCTTTGGGAAACCAACTCATAGAGCATCACGCATATCTGGGGAGCTAGTAAACATTCTGTACTAAATTTTCATATGATTCCTGCTTTTTCCACCTTGAAAATGAACCAGCAGCCCCGATTACTCACGCTTTCTGTACTAAATGTTCGGAGTCTCCCATCTCGACTTCACTTCCTTGCCATTCATTATGATTTTCAAAGAGTAACTCAATCTGTTCCAATGATCTTCCCTTGGTCTCGGGAACACATTTGTAAGCAAAGAGAACAGAAAGAGCTGAGAACAGTGCAAAGAGGAAGAAGGTTCCGGCAATGGTAATTGTATGAGAGAGGGAGAGGAACGACATGGCAACAAGGCCACTGCATACCCTGTTACCTACAGCCCCGAGAGCAGATGCTTGAGCTCGCAACCTCAAGGGAAAGATTTCGGATGTCAAAATCCAGCAAATAGGACCCATTCCCACCGAAAAGAAAGCTACATTACCGCAGATACATAAGATCGCCAGTGCGATTCCGAGCTGGCCATTCCCCACTAAGCCAAGGGTAAGGCTTAAGGTCAATAAACAAACAGTCATCCCGATTGTGCTCACATATAGCAAAGGCTTCCTCCCTACTCTATCAACAAGAAACGTAGCAATCAATATAAAAGCAGTCTTTGTAACACCCACAGCAACAGTTGCAGCAAGAAGCTTAGAGTTGTTCTTAATCCCAGCCTCCTTGAAGATTTCAGGACTATAATAAACAGTTGCATCTATTCCGGTGATTTGTTGGAAACACTGGATTCCAAATCCAGTGATCAGCATCCGACGAATTGGTGGAGAAGGACTGAGCAGTTCACGCCACACGGCTTTCTCTTCATTCTTCTCTCCATTAGAAATCCCAGCCGCTGCTACTATTTCTGTGAGCTTGTCATCCACCTCTTTCTCGTTTTCAACTGTTTTAAGTAGCACAGATCTTGCTTCTTCAACTCGGTTCTGCATGACTAACCACCTCGGTGATTCCGGTATAATAAAAAGTGCAACCCCTATAAACACTGAAGGCAAGATTCCAACAGCCAGCATCACCCTCCAGTTTGTATGAACCGAAAGACCGGAAAATGCATAATTTGAGACATAACCAAGCAAAATTCCTAGATTTATGAATATCTCTGGGAAGGATGTAAGAGAGCCTCTATCGACAGTAGGTGATATCTCGGCGATATAGACGGGAGCAATCATGACTCCAAAGCCTATACCAACCCCAGCCAAAACTCGTCCGATCATTAGTATTTCGAACGAAGGTGCAAGCGTCATGATAGCTGCACCAATTTGAAACACAACAGCTGCAAATGCCATTGTCCACTTTCTACCAATAATATCGGATGTCCTTCCGCCTGCTAAGCTACCCAAAAGCGAAATGATGCTCAAAATCCCAACAAGAACTTCTTCTTGTACCTCAGATATCTTCAGATCTTCCTGTATGAATATAATGGCTCCACTCATTACACCTACATCTGTTCATAAAAGGCTAAATTCTTAGCTTCAAAGTATAAAACAAACTGCTAACAGGTGCAGCACTATCAAAGATAAAGCTTTTAAGGATGGTGAAAGGAAGAAAAGGAATACAAGCAACTGGAATTCCCAGTAATGTTCATAAATCGTGGATTACATTATTCAGATAAACACCAGCTGAGAAGACAGAGTTCTCCGAAAAAATGGAGTTTTTATCATTCAAGCAGGTAACTTCAACGACCTCAACTTAGACATGACGAGCAATAAGTACACAAGCTACAAAAAACTAAGATTTGCTTATGATGATAGAATAAAAAGAATCAGATTTTGAGCTAAAATGGTGAATTTTAAGCATTCCATGGACGAACATCAACTAGGGCAATCAACCATTTACCTAATTCCAAAATTCCCAGAAAGACAAAAAAGGAGCGGGCTTGACTCTTGAAGCAACCAAAGCAAATAGAAAAATATGATGGACAAAGAGAGAAAAAAAACCCACCGTAGCCAAGAAGAACATTGTTGAAAGATGCAAAGATGGCACAAGCAAGAACATATTTCCTGATAGTTTTCTTCCTCTCCTGCTGTTGATGATGAAGATTCAAAGCATCATCATCAAAATCATCCGATAGCTCAGAATCCATCCTCTTGTACTTTTTCTTGTTCCCCAAAACCAAACCCATTTCCCCTCCCCCGTTTTCTTGGACACCCACCAACCCCATAACTCTCCTTTGCCTGTTTGAACTCACAAAAAACAGAGCAAAAACAACAAAAGCAGACCCAGAAACAGAAGTTCCTATAAGATCAATTAAGCCATGGATTGGGTTTTTAGATCTAAAAGCTAGAAGGAAGGAAGACAAGGAAAGTCCAAGCAAAGGCGTGTCCTTTTCCTTTCTTTTTATCACGCAAGCAAGCCAATTGGTTTTCTCCAAAGCTTAATTACATATGCAAATGGACATACATATGCATATACATACATATATATATATATATATATGACGTTTTTCCGAAATATCGTATATTTACTAATCTAACACCGGATAGATTATATTTTTCGATCTAACACCCGTAGCAGTAAAGCGCGCCCTCTGACTCGCGCTATACGCTGATTTGGCGCCACGTGGGGTATAGCGTGCCCCTGCACTGCGCTATTTGCTGACTGGTTACACGTGGGGTATAGCGCGCCCCTGAACCGCGCTATATCTGTGTATCTAGACAATTATATTTAGCGCGGACCCTGATCCGCACTATACCATAAGTACATATACCCGCAGTGCAGGTACCGCGCCTTGTATAACTATATATACCCTTCTCCCCCAGTTATGTTCCTCGCATCTCTCCTCTCAACTTATAAATTAATACAATAATTCCATCAACGAGTCAATAATTTTGGCAATCTTCTCATATTTAATTTAGAAGTTCGTACGATTTTTTCGTTATAATGTAATTTTGTTATAATTTTGTTATTATACTTATTATTTATTATGATTATTTGAAAAAATATTATACTAATTATTTTCAATTAATTTTTATGTTTGTAAAATTGAAAAGCGAGAGTATACGTCGAAATAGTTTTACGGTGCAGGTAATAATATAAAATTATATTATTTAAATTATTTATGTTGATGTGTAAAAATTTATTGTGCTATATTTTCGTTCATATATAATTTATTTAATTAGGTTTGTTTCAGTTATTTTTTTATAGATATAATATTGCCGCACTTTTAAACTCAAAGAATGGCGCGACTTTCAGCTATTGTTTATTATGATGGTGAAATTCGAGAAGATGAAATCGGCTTTGTTTTCGTATCAAATGAGCGTGTTAAAATATCATTCAAGAGAAACATAGCTCTTGAGGAGCTGATAACGAAGATTTCGAGGAAGATTCATGTTGAAAGTAGTAGAAGAATGTCGTCGTTGTAGTACAAATTTCCAACATCATTGTTGCCATTAACTTATACAGAGTTCGAACTTTCGAACAATGATGATGTTGAAATGATGGTTGAAGCTCAAAGTAATTATTCAGACGCCGCTATTAAGATGTATGCACATTTTGTTCAAGTGCGTGTTGTTCGGGGTCAATTATTAAGCTCCCAGTATGGGTTGGCTGAACAAGTTGACAGCCCGACTACAGTAATGTGTAATGATTTTAATGCCATAATGGGGAGACATTCATCCACAACTCCTTACGATATGTACTGAGGTGGGTCCACGAATAATTCGTATGGAAACACCGCGTCCATTTCAAGGGGAAGGCATTCATCTGCAAATTTCTTTGACCATATGGAGATGCCATCGACGCAACCATCTGTGCAGTTTCCATTTGACACGATGACTTCAAGCTTCAGGGGAAGACATTCGACTGCGAGCTTTTTCGATCTCAATGTCGATATGTCTTCCAGTTCAAGGGGAAGACGTGCAAGTAGTATGTTCTTCGACCAAAATGTGGAGAGTATGGAGGAACCATCATCTCCACCAGAAGAACCGCTTCGTGAGCCTGGTACGGATGGTGCTGAGACTAGACTATTCATTCACCCAGAATCACCGCAATTCAACTCCGATGATGATGAAGTTCCAGGAAATGTGGCACAAACTGACCCTCCTGCACACATATATGAAGCTGATTATGGTTCAATGTACGTGCCATAATTTACGGATATGCCTCATCTCAGTGACTATGGATATTACTCATTAAAAAATAATGGTGAGTTATCTTTAGGCATGGAGTTTTCAAGCAAAAAAGAAGCGGTGATGGCTATAAAAAATTACAATATCCGTAATTATGTTCAGTCCAGAGTAAAACGATCGGCGACCAAAAAATATGTATACTACTGTGCCCGACGCGAAAACGGATGCAAATGGATGGGTTCGCGTATCGAAAATGAAGAGGAAAAACAACATATGGGAACTAACAATATACACGATCCTCACACATGTTGTGCTGGATGAGTCAACTAAGATCATCCCAACTTGGGTTCTGAAGTGATATGCCAAGCCATCATGCCCATGGTAAAAGCAAGCTCTTATATAGCTGTTGCAGTGTTGATTTCAGCTATACAATCGCGATATGGGTACACTGTCTCCTATAAAAAGCTTGGTTGGCAAAACAAAATGCCATTATCAAACTTCATGGCGAATGAGATGCATCTTACAACGAACTTCCAGGCTGGTTTAGGCTGGTGCGGAGGTTGAATCATGGGACAATTATGGACTTTGAAACCTCCTATGCATACCATAATGATCGAGTTCTTCGCGATCGATGCCAATTCTACCGAGTTTTTTGGACTTACCCATAGTGTGTTAATGCTGTCAAATACTGCAAGCCTGTGGTCCAGATCGATGGGACTTTCTTGTATGGAAAATACAAGCAAGTTTTATTATTGGCAGTTGTCCAAGATGGAAATCGCAACATTCTTCCAGTTGTTTTTGCTCTTGTCGAAGGAGAAGATAAAAATTCTTGGGCTTTTTTCCTCCGAAATTTAAGTGCACATGTTATCACGAAGGAAAAAATATGTGTCATTTCTGATCGCAGAGCTGGGATCAAAGCAGCAATGGAGTCTTTGGGTCCAATGTGGCAACCACCCTTTGTCCAACATAGGTATTGTCTCCGACACATTGCTGCGAACTACCATGGAAGATACAAGAAGAATGATGAGCGTCAATTACTTGTGCGCATGGGTAAGTGAAACTGATGTAGTTTGTTTTCTTTCGATCCTTTTGATAAGGTTAGTAAGTTATACATTTTTTGATCAGGTTACGATTGAATCAATGCTTCAAGATTTGCGGTCGAAGAACGAGGAAGGATACGATTACATTAGCCTCATCGATAAAGAAATGTGGATGAACACATATGATGGTGGATATCGATATGGACACATGACGACCAACTTGGTTGATGCAATCAATTCAACCTTAAAGGGTGCACATCACTTACCTGTAGCGGCTTTAGTAAAAACTACATATTTTTCGTTTGGGGGTGCTTTTTGCGAAGCTCGGGGGACAAGCTCAAACCTGGATGCAAGGCGGTCATGTCTATCACCCTAGATTAGTTGCAAATCTACAGAAAAAAATTGATGCATCAAATGGAATGTCTGTAACAAGCTTCTCTAGAAGGCATGAAATGTTTTGTGTCACAGAGTTACCGCGACCTCTTCAAGGGATTGAAGCTGTGTCGTTAAGAGTAAATCTAAGGGACAGAACGTGCGACTGCGGGTTTTTTCAAGCTCTAAAGTATCCATGCTCTCATGTGATAGCAGCTTGCTCGCATACACGTCAAGACTATAACCATTTTGTGGATCCCGTATACCTACTATCTGAAGTTTTTAAGGTATACGAATTTGAGTTTCCCCCCATAGGTAATGACAAAGACCCTGATGAGGTTCAAGATTGGCTTCCGATTGTACCAAATCCGAGTTTATTGAGTGAGCGTGGTCGTCCAAAATCCAATCGAATTCATTGCGATATGAATATTCGAGAAAGATCTAGACAAGACAGAAGATGTGAACATTGTAGAAACCCAGGACACACTAGAAAAACATGTCCACTTTTGTTGTCATCAAGTAACAATTGATGAGGAAATGATGTATTTGTTTATCAAATAATAATTCTTGTACTTTAATTTGCATTTACTTCAAGTTAATGTCATTCGATAATCGATGATGAAGATAAAAAAAATGAACACAAACATTAAATTTTATTAAACTAATAACAATTTAGTATTTGAATATAATTTTAAATACAACAAACTTACAATAAGTATTAAATGGTAAATGATAACCAAATTACAATAACTGATATTAAATTGTAATAAACAAAATGAACTGAAATACATTAAAAAAAGTCCAACAAATTTAACAAAATAAAGTAAGTATTAAATGAGAAATAATAAAAAATTACAATTTAACAAAATAAAATAAATACAAATATAATAAAAAACAAAATCTATCGATGCCTACGACGGGAATGTGTTCCGCAAGGCGGTGGCTGTCGGTCTCGAGGAGGATTTCTTCGTATCACTGGTTCTGACTCCTCGCTATCATCATCATCACCATCATCGTCGTCGTCGTCGTCGTCATCGTCGTCGTCGTCGTCGTCGTCCTGAGCAGGTACATTAGGTTAATGAGGAGCTGATGACGATGAAGCACCTCCATAGAATAAGGACCCTGAAGGTGTATGACTAACTATCCCACCGGCCTGCAAAAACTGAGAAAACTCATAAAACCCAGACATCGCTGAGTGTGAAAACTGTACAGGAGGTGTTTGTGTTGCGGCCATGGATGATGAGACTGAACCCGCCAAATATCCAGCATATGAACCCCAAGTTAGATCTATAAACATAGACCCATAATAGCCTCCAGGAGGGGTCATCTATTACGGTGGCGTCGGCGGGGTCATAAAACCAGGTAAAGGCGGCAACAACATCTAGTAATGGAAAGGCGATGGCGGCATCATATATGGCTGCGGTGCCTGCTGTGAAGGTCCTGCTGGTGCAGCTGAGGATGAACCGGAAGCATATGCTCTCCGTCCATGAGTCGGGGGATAATGGTGCTGTGTCGGATCACGTCTATGTCGACGTCGCGGAAAGGTCTGCCCTCGTGCATCATCGGAAGCAGAAACGGTTTCCCGTTACTGTTGAACCACTCATAATAACTTTCAGCAACACTCAAGAGGTTAAGTAAAATGGGTTCTCTATGGGGAAGGCGCCGATGTCGATCCTCCCACAACACGACCCACTCATGATGCCTCACCAGCCAATCTGTATCTGTCTTGCCGCGTCTATCTAAGCTATGCAACTCGTCCATATTACGCGGTGCATCCGGAATTGGTTGAAAACAACCAAACTGCCGGAGCACGCGATCAGTGGAGTGCCACTCGACGGTCGCATAACAGATCAGAGGAACCATCGCCATCCAAACATCTGATGGACCCCTCAACTCAGGTGGGATCACCGCCCTCACATCATCAGTAGAATATGACACCCATTCAAACTAAAACAAATAATATATAATTTTTATCAAAATAATATATAATTTTTATCAAAATAATAATCTAATTATATAACTATAATCTAAAATCGATTTTTAAACATTAAAATCATACCTGTGTACCAGCCTTCTGATCGATTAGCACCCTAATTTTTTCTAAATCACAAGGTAGCTCCTGATGATTTTTCCTATCAGTAGACCACTTATTCAAGGAAAAAAAATTATTATACGTTGTATAAAATTATTAATATACAAAATCAGTTTTATAATTACCTCAAAAGTAGTGGAATTATGAATGGGTTCTTCACAAAGGGATATAAAAAGGGCAATCGATACCATGCCCAAGACTGCAGCAGTAGGAGACATCCGCCGATAGTATTACGCCTGTAGTCAATGGCTCCACACATCTCCCTGTACAACAAAGCCAAAACTGCCGAGCCCCAATTGAATGATCCGACGAGACGAAAGTCGCTAAGATGTCGCAACCACATGCAGTGAACTAGGTTGCGCGATTTGTCCAGCATCAGCAACCCTCCTATCAACTGCAATATGCATACCCGTGCATACATCTTAACCTCATCCTCAGAGGCGTCTGCGCTCAACTCCCGAAAATTGGCATCTAACCAATTTAACGGTATCCTACCTCCGATAAAACTTTCGGGACACGTCCTAGATTATCCCGGCACAAAGTAGTCCAGGAACCCTGCGGGATCCCTGATATCACATCTCCATCCACCGGAAGCCCTAGGTGTATAGCAACATCCTCAAGTATAATCGTGCACTCTCCGCACGGAAGATGGAATGTGTGGGTCTCCGGCCTCCACCGCTCTACTAAGGCAGAAATAAGGTCTGGTTCTATCTTACAGTGACCCTGATATTTACCTATGTAACCAAATCCAACCTCTACTAAATACGGCAAGACACGACTAGGTATCACTAACTTAAGATTCCTAATAAAATGATCTAATATACGATCCTTCTCCTAAAAATAAATAATTACAAAAATTAATTCTTAATCTAATAATCATGCATTAAATAAATCAACAAATTATTACTAATAATTTAAATTAAATTAAAACGTTAAAATGTTACCGTATCAGCAAAGTGTCGAGATATATGATTTCCATCTAAGCGAAGTAGACCGCCTTCCATTATATATCTGCAAACAAATTATATTAGTAAAATATTAAATAAAGTAAAATACTTAAATAAATTAAATACATAATATTAAAGATATTATAAAATATACCTTAAACGAGAGAGAATTTGAGAGAATTTGGTGTGATGAAAGTGATTGAGGATGAGGTATTTATAGGGAAGGGTGGGGTGTGAACGGCCGGGTAATTAAAGCTATAGCGCGTCCCCTGCACCGCGCTATACCCCACGTGTCAGATAAATAGGTATAGCGCGGAGCAGGGGGCGCGCTATAGCCACGTGTAACCCAATTAGCGTATAGTGCGGTGCATGGGACGTGCTATACCCCACGTGGCTCCAAATCAGCATATAGCGCAGGTCAGGAGGCGCGTTTTACTGCTACGGGTGTTAGATCGGGAAATATAATATGACTGGTGTTAGATCGTTAAATATACCGATCACCGATGATATTTCGGGAAAAACATCCATATATATATATATATATATATAGTCAACATAACATGGTCTTATACAATGATGTTCACAACGTAAACAATACAAGTCTCAAGAGTGTAAAATGTGCAAGGTTAACCCAACAAATCTGTCAAAAATTTATGATTGGCGTTTTCAAAGAAATCCTGTGGTTATTTTCTGACATAAATGCCTTTGAATTGTCTGGATTTTGATTCCTTGATTTGGAATCTAACATATGGAATCCATGTCTGTATGACATAATTTTCACCAACGTGAAGAAAAAGACATTTCTCGCCTTTAATTACTACTAATAACATAGAGAAAAAGCCACTTAATTTGTTTGAAATCAAATAAGGCAAAAATATCAAGTGAGAATGTTTTAATTCCATTTAGGTGATTGGTGCTTTGAAAGACTTTAATTTACGCGTAAAGTTGAATCTCGCCTTTAATTGTGATGGAATGAGGTTCGCCTTATAAGATTTTGGTTAAACTACGTGTTTAATACGTAAATTAATACTTTTATTCCCATTTTGGTACTCAAATTTTATTTTGTTTCAAAATCACGCCTAACATTTAGTTTATGTTTCATTTTGGTACTCGTCGTTAAAAACTTAACGGTAATGTAGACGTGTCACGACAATATAATGTCACGTCAACATTGAAAAAAAATTTGTCACATTAGCAGTTCTATTAATTTTTTAACTGTGGGTATCAAATTGAACCTAAACTAAACATTAGAGTATGGTTTTGAAACAAAATAAAGTTTGGTATTAAAACAGAACAAAAATAATAGCTTAGATACTAAACATGTAACTTACCCTAAATTGTTTTTCTATTTATTTTGAAAGTTGAAATATTTAGATTGGTTTGGTGTGACCGACAAATCCTTGTCATTTTCCATGTTAACAAAGGAATACAAAACCTTTTACATTTACAATAATAGGGTGCCATAATCAAACAAGTTAACAAAGGAATACAATTTTAAACAAGTCTTTTAATAGATTTCAAAACGCTTTTTTTAATGACAAATAATAGGGTGCCATTTTGTAATTTGTAATTAATTAAGCACAAAACCTTTTACATTTACAAAGGTGGGAGCCATGGTAAAATATGTTTTTAGTTTGTTCTCATGCTGGTGTCTATTTATGCCAAACCAACTAACTCCTCACTTATCTCCCACAACTTCTTTGCCTTCTCCGCATCACTCGCCTCTTTCGAAAGCTGGTTTTCGAACGATTCCGAGTCCTTGTTCCAACTCCAGTAAACACCCGACTTCGTAAGATTCGGATCACTCACAACCTGCAACATACAAGGCTTGTCTGCTTCATATGCAATGTAACATTAAACAAATGTGCATGTAAGCATATAGTGACCGAGAAGGTTTTTTTTCGATATTGTTCTAATTGACCTGTGCAAGTCTGCTACCGGCTTCTTCTTCCGAAACGTAGCCTTTCGTAATGTATTTCTGAAACGGGGGGAAAAGAATCTGGAACAACGGAAAGTGCTCCCGAAACAGACCTGTTGTTGCAATGCAACCGGGGTAAAGGGACGCAAAAGTGATTCCGGTTTCCTCATGGTACCGCCTGTGGAACTCTTGCATGGTGAGCATGTTACAAACTTTGCTGTCTTTGTATGCCTTGGCACCATCAAAATCTCCTCCATCTTTCATAGGTGAACTCTGTACTCCATTCAAGCCTCCAGCAAGACCTCTAAGATTGCCAAGGTTAGCTTTCGGCGGCACGTTTCCAGCCAATGTGTTTGTGTTTCCTGTAATTGCATTGAGAGGAACATTACATTTCATCATTTCGCAAATTATATGCAAAATCTGAAATTGCATTTAGGCTGGTACCTGTAATGGAACCAACAATAATGAGACGCTTATACGGGTAATCTGATTTCTTGAGATCACCTAGGAGTAGCCTTGCGAGGAGGAAGTGACCGAGATGATTCGTTCCAACACTGAGTTCGAACCCTTGGGCAGTATACGTTGGTTCCTTAGCAGTAGGTAAGTAAACAGCAGCATAGCAAACCAAAGCATCAAGCGGCCTTCCGAGCGCCGGAAGTTGTCAGCGAATTGCCTCACGCTTTCAAGCGAGGCGAGATCGAGATGCATTACCGAATACTTCTCCTTATTAATCCCAACCGATTTAGCTGCTTTCTCAGCCTTGAGAAAATTCCTACATGCCATTCCCCCGTCTCGGCAAGAGCCTTGGCCGTCGCTAGGCCTAATCCGGACGACGCACCGGTTATCACCACATTACCCTTTCTCAAGGTCTTCTTTCCTTGTGGTGCTGCCTGATCAACTGCAGGAGTTGTGACAGCCGTTTGGGATTCCAGCAGGGACTTCCTTTTTCCTAAGTTCCTATAGTTCATTCAGCGTACCATATATGAAAAACAATGACAAATTCACAATCTTTAGAGAAAAAATCCAACATTTTACCTGCCATTTCCACTATAAAACCATAAAATACAAAGATATTTGGAAATTTCATCAGGGACTTCCTTTTTCCTAAGTTCCTATAGTTCATCCAGCGTACCAGATATGAAAAACTATGAGAAAGTCACAATCTTTAGAACAAAAATCCAACATTTTATCTACCATTTTCAGTATGAAAACGATGAAATAGAAAGATATTTGGATGTTTGACCTGAGTTAAAGGTAGAGGGAAACTGAAAGGGGTGGAGAATGGAACGCCAAATACATGGTTTTCAGAACCGGAACGGTCAGCGAACCGACTGTGCTATCGATTCATTGGTTCAACCGATCGAATCGGTTAGACCGATCGTAAGAACCGGACGACGTTATAATTATTTAAATAATTAAATAAAAAATAAAAAAAATAAAAAAAATTTAGGTTGAATCGGTTCATGGTCTGGTCCGGTTCGACCGGTTCAAAGCCGGTTCGAACGGTTTTTACTGTTCACTAGAACCGGGTATAATGGGTCGGACCAGACAGCGATTCCGATTGAACCGGTTAAACCGGCCGGTCCGAACCGGTTTTCAAAACAATGCCAAATAGAGTTGCGTCCTTCGATTTGACCTGAGGATGAATCAAATAAGCTAATTGAGCTTGTTGTGTTATTATCTTTTTGTAGCAATGGAATTAGGTAGCAACTAACCTCTTTGTGAACGGAGATGGTGGGCGGCGGGAGCAATGAGGCTGCTCGGAGAGCCATGAACCTGCTGGTTTTGATGAGATTTTCTAGTGTAATAATTGAATGGAAAACGGGGAACGGAGGAAGATAAGGTTGGTTTTTCAGCATCTTGATAAGCAGTACGCCATGTCAGCTTCCATTATCCAATGGGATTTGCTTTTATTTATTTTCCAAGCTTTTTCATTGCTTCATAAACACCGAGTCTCTGGGCCTTTTCGGCCTGCAACAATCCAGTCCAAAGGGATAAAGGGAATGTGTCTTGATAATACAAAATTGCTTTGTTTTTGGATATTTAACTCCCTTTTATATAATTTTCTTTAAACAATGGAATGAATTATAATTACAATATATTTAAGCACAAGAAAAAAAGGACAATAGTCACTAAAAATTTCATATATAAAATGAAAATATCAAATCCAAAGACACGATAAAAAACGAAAATTTTCATTAGAGAATGACGTTCAACATCAAAAAATCCAATAATCTTCATAAAACTTATTATCTCTGTCGAACGACTAAACTTTATTTAATTATGACAAGATTCCAATATGAGTAAACTATTTAAATGTTATTTAATATGAGTAAACTACACCCATAAACACCTGAATATGTAAAGATTCTAATTTGATCATAGATATTTTAATTTTGTCAATCAAACCATTTAACTATCTAAATAATGTTAATCAAGTCACACAAATTTGATATGATAGTTAATTTTTTTATATAATTACACATTTAATCATTATTTTCTTGTTTCTTCAATTACTCATTCATATTAAATTTATTTTTGGTCAAATTTGAATCACTTATACCTCAACTATCTTAGAATATTTTTACAACTTCAAAGTAATCTTTTTGATAAATAAGTTATATATATTTTTAATTTAATCTATTAATTTTGTGTTTTATTCAATTTAATCTTTTGACTGCAACTCTTTGTTCGTCTTCCATCAATTCCTTAATTCTTTTATACTCTCAAAATACTTTTTTATCAAAATCTATTCTTTAAACATATTATATAATTTTTGTTATACTTCCTCCTGTACATCTTTACTGTTAATCCATCGTCCATCAAAATATTTGAAGTTCAGTAACCTTTAGTCAACTACAATGTTTTGACGTGACTACTAAAAGACTAACATAATATGTTAAAATCAAATAAATATTTTTATAATTATATCTATTTAACATGTTAATCTACGAATGATCATTATGACTTTAGACTTACATTAACACCAAGACCTAGTAAATCACCATGCAAATAATGGAGAAGGAATCAATTTTCTCTCTTTGAGACGTTTTATCTCAGCTTTTCATTATTTATTGTTTCTTCAGTTCGTCACTCTCATTCATAAAATAATTTACTATTTTATCCATCCAAATCATAAGGGAAGATTCCCTACAACCTCATTTTTTTCCATCAATAATTTTAAAGATATTTAATTTATTACATAATATTATTTATCTTAGTTGTGCATGTGAAAAAGAATATGAAAAATATATATAATTAGAGAGATTTTTTTTAAATTTGAATAAATCAATATAATAATATTATAAATAATTACAAAAAAAATTGAATAAAAATTTAAATAAATATATTAATTTAATTTGACTTGATTGATTTGACTTGATTCAAAAAAAATTAAATAAAATTTAAATAATAAAATAATATTTTCAAACTAACTAATTTAAATATTTTTTTTCATTTGATTTGACTTGAATAAATATCAAACTTAAATAAATAACAAAAGTAATAATGTTTTGCCCCCTTTACCTTCGTTCTTCACATTTTGAGCGAATGACAATGAATGCATTTCGTGTTCTTTTCTCCCCTCCCAGTTTCTTAAATTCAACTCAGTTGTTGGCTGGTCGTAGGAAATGGTAGTGCTGCCAAATATGTAGCCTCTGCTTCCAAATATTTGCCATTTGACATTTTCTGAAAAGCTAAAAGTTAAATTCAACATTAAAAAAAACAAGGTCTAATTTGATTTAGAAAATGTATACATATTAAGAATTAAATTTATCATTATTGTTTTTAAATAAAATTTTAAATTTAGACTTCGTAGACGAAAAACAACAAATACATGAAAAAAAATTCTTCAGCTCGAGGTCCAATAATCCAACATCTGCTATGTTTTTCGGTCATACGAGTGATCGAAACAAAATCCACGACAATTACCGACCAAGACACGAGCTATGTGTCATACAATCCATCTGCCCACATTGTCTTGAAGAAGCCCCATGTGATAAATCCGTAATTTAACATTCGGTCAGTGGTTGTACATTTATAATACGAATCAATTTTTTTGAGATTTTAGATTTTAATATTATAAATGTTAAGAATTTAAGTATTTAATAATAAATAATTAAGAGTTATCTTTAAATAAATATTAATCTTATACTTATTCTAAATTGATAAAAAATTATAAAATTAATTTGATATATAAAAGAGAGAGAGAAAGAAATCAATATATCATTTTTTTAAATAAAATATTAAATTTTAGGTTTCATTTTTTAATTTTGGGATCATAATGATGTATGTGTCCACATAAGTTGTGGAATCATGGGGCTTCCCATTGTTGTACACTTGTATCATGGTCCAGCCATGATTAAAAATGGTCATTGCTGTACTATTATGGTAGGGTTATGATGATCGATAACGAAATGATAAAATATATTACATTTTAAAGTGATAATCTAAAAACATTATAAAAGAAACAATGTTAAATTTCACATATTGGTATTAAAATTTACATACAAAAATAAACAATATCAAATATTTGATTTTAAATTTATGTGATTCATATGATAAAATTCATAAATGAAATTTTAATTTTTCTTATAAAAAATATTCTTAAACCATGATGGTGGAGTGAAATTATTACAAACAAAGTGGGATACAATTTCTTTGTCGACGTCAGAAGAGGAGGAGATTTAATGCACTTTATAGCAAGCTTTAATGTTTGAACGCTTATAGGGAGTCTGAAATTCATCATCAAACTCTACACTCAAAGTGCATAAATACATATTAATTTGAAATCTTAAATAATCTAGATAATGTTGATTTGACATTATTTACTTTTATATTACATTAAAAAAATAATCGAAGTTTAAAAAATATATAAAAGGAACCAAAAAAATAAAAGTTTAAAAAATATATAAACTATACATTGATCATGATTCATGTCATACCAATAATGTTAATAATTTAATATTTTAATTATTATTTCTATTAAAATCTAACCTTCATCTCTTCTTATAACGTTGAAAATCAAATTTAAATTCAATATATGTGTGTGTGTAAATTTTAAGAAAAAAATTACATTTGTGTTCTTTTTTCCATGTGATCCTTGTTAAATCAAACAAAAGAATCTTTACATTTTCTTATTTAAATAATTTTTCAATTAATATGAATTCGGATCTTACATAAAATTATTATAAAGTATTATCTTAATATAATTTATTATATTTATATATTAAAATTCGAATTCTAAATATTATTAAAGCTCATTAAACGTATTCATAGTTAGAGGTACTTTATATTTTGAACACAAAGTTGAATCAATCAAGTTTGCCAGCCATGGGTGAAATTAAACAAGTGCCAAAAGGTTGTTATTAATGCTAATAATGTGCAGTTGGCAAGCTAATTAACGTTCCCCTAATGAAAACAAAACCTATCATCTGCCCGTCATTCAGCCAGTGCTTCTTTACGTGCCTTGATGAGTTTCACACGTTCAACATTGCCTAACCTTTTAAGTCAAGTAATCCAATGTTTGCAAGTTAAAAACCAAATTTTAATTTTAAAAAAACCATATTTGCAATATAATAGTAAAGAATAACATTTTATTCATCGGTGAAAATAAAAACATTGAAACAATTTGTCCCTTTTGATTTGGATGAAAAGTCATAACCGATTGTTAGATAAGAATTGATCTATATTCAAATTTGAATGAAGAAAAATGATTTTAGATCATTCTCTTAATCTAGGTTGAGAAATTTTGTTACGCCCTTTAGTGTTAATGTCAGACATAGAATCATAATGGATACTCGTAAATTGGTAGTCTTAATAGATACATTTCGTTGTCAATTAATTTTGACTCTATAATATCATTTAACCTTAGCAAATGTCATATCAAAAGGTCATGACTTCTTATATCCGAATAGGTTCTCTTGGGATTATAATTACGAAATTCTTTGAAGATTTTAACCTGCATAGATCAATTTTACGGAGGAAATTCGAAATAGGTACAACATGATTTAAGTTTGATCCCATATAAATCATTATCAATCTCTTTCATTGGTTCTATAATGATGAAAAAAGAAACATTGCATGCAGTTGAATAAAAGTTTCAAAAGAGCCTCACTGATTTAACCCTCAGATCTTAATCCATTTTTGTTTACAACAAAGCCATAAAACTGGCTTAAAACAGCTCCAATTCCATATGCTGGAATCATGTAAATGATGGTCTCACACTAGACTTTGGAAAGGTTCAATAACTTGTGCCGAACACAAGCTTGTAAGGCCGCTATTACTTCACAAAGCACAAAACCAGAAAACAAAATCACAATATGTTGTTCAGCCACGTCGAGGTCCGGTGAAATAATTGAAGTCGTGGTGCTCGACCCTAAGTTGCTTCAGCCACGAGTCCGCGACGCTTAAAAGCGACACCAGTCTCTCCCGGTCTTGCCCACAATTGCCCATCACCCACACGTCTCCACGCATCTTGTATGTGGCCAAACCGAACGGCGAAAGAGCGATGTCGTCCCCTTCCTTTCGCTTCCTCTCGGGACACTCAACGTCGTCCTCGGGATCCATATCTACACATATAGGATAAACATAAACATATGGAATAAATCACAGGTAAAGTTGCAAGAATTGATACCAATCCAAATTCGATCATCATGCAACCCTACCCTATCCTTTATCAAAAGTAGAAAGAGATGAAAGAAAGGAGACAACAAAGGCACCTTGGAAAGAAGATGATAAAGTGTGGTAAGTAAGGAAGCATGCGGATAGGTCCTTTATGGTCCTTCCCATGGGAATGTGATAAATTGGGTACCTGTAATTATCCGAATCGAATAACAATTATTTGTCAATAATTCATAAGTTATATATACATTGGGAAAAGATTCGTTCATATTGTGTAAATTTTTATATTTTTAATATTTTCAAGTTTGTTGAACAAGTAAAAATAAACGAGGGAAAGAAAAAGAGAGACCAGGCAACTGCCATCCAACTAGCTGGGGAGAGATCTACGCTCCTCAATGACATCAAGCCAGGGTATCTTCGTGATAATCCATTAATCTGAGATATAAATTGCAGTTGAAACTAAAATGCTTAGCCACATTCATCATACTGAAAAGTGGTTAAATTACGGTTTAGATCCCTCTAATATATTTAAATATTTAAAGAAGTACGTGGATGGAAAAATAATAAAAAGGAAAAGAAAAGGGCTACCTTATCCATGAGCGGAACTCTTCCATAAGGGGTAGTTCTCTCGAAATACTGGAAATAAAGGTATCCCAACCGATTATTCACGTGCGAAAGGCTGTCTTGGTCGGAGCCACCGTCCTCCGATGAGCATCCGTCCGATCTCCATAACTCACTTTCATCACTGTACGAATCACTAAATGAATCCCTCTCGCCATCACCCGACTCGGTCTCTTCCCTGTCAACAAAATTCCAAGCCCAAGATTTCATCGAATTTTGCTTACGTCTCGATCATGGAATCCAAGCAATTTCTTACCTTAATCCACTGACGGAAGAATCGCTGGTGAATATTTGAATGGCGGAGAGATAAGGAACGTAGTACTGGACTAATGTTTCGTTGTTGTTCAACCCGATGGGAATGCCAGCCCCGTACGCACTCCATTCGTCGTAACAGTTCCAAAGATCACCCAACGTGAAATACTCGACCTTTTCTGTCTCCCAAGGGTGCCATAATCGATTGAGATTCCTAATCTCACTCTGCAAATGAAAATCATAAATTAAGAAACTGAAAAAAAGGTTAAACAGAGATGATTCTGGTGAATTCTCAAACCTTGGGGAGGAATTGGGATTTGACTGTGGGTGTTGTGCAGTGGAGGAAACAATCGAGGTTCGATTGCGTTGACCCAGAGTCGAAAATCATGATGATCGGGTTTCTCTCTAACTCAAACGAATGGTAAAATGAAGGGAAAAAACAGAAGAGAGCAAAGAGGGGGAGAGATTGCCGCGATTTCGTTGAATAAATGCAAAAACTCGTGTATTTAAGAATTTCGATGTTTGAAAAAGCTAAATTTAAGGAAACAGAAAATGGGATATATATATATATATATATATATATATATATATATGGAATTATGGATTCAACCAAGTCTTTGTTGGTAGTTGAAAATGTTGTTTAATTTCAACCCTTCTGATTTATAGGATTCAACTCTGTTTTTTTTTTTTTCAACTTAAAGAAAACTCAAGGCCTCTCTGCTTTGATCAACGATGAAGAAACAAATTCTGTTCCCATTCAACGTTTAATCCTTTAAGTTAAATCCAAAAACCCAGTTTACACGGTAACTTAAAAAGAAAAGCAAAGGGAAGTCCGAGAAAACGAGAGAAAACAAGGGGAAAAGCCAGAAAATTCTCGAGTTTTTCTTTGTTTCAACAGAAACCCATGAATTCTGGGTCTTTTCACTTAGACGCAGAAGATTTCTATAACCGAAAATGAATGAAGAAAGAAAGAAACAATGAAAAACAGAGCATAGCAGAAACCTATTCGAAAAGCTTATTGATCTTTTGGAACAAAGCATTTATAAGACAAAGGAAGAAGGAAACGATTACAGTGTAGATATCGAAAACGATAATAATTTAAGCATTTCATTTCACTTTTATAATTTATATCGATCTAAGCCCTCGAAATAAATGATTACTGTGTTGAGTGGATCCATCATCCATGAAAATTCAATCTTATGTGCATGCTTTTCAGAATCGGATCGGATAGTGAATCGATTATGTTATCGATTTATTGGTTCAATCGATCGAATCGGTCTGATCGATTAAAAGAATCGGACGACGTCATAATTATTTAAAAAATTAAATAAAAATACCAAAAATATTTAATAAAAAATAATTTTTTATATCACAAGTCATATTAAAGCAAGTCATAACATATATAAATTAAAAACCATAAAATCAAGTGAAACAAAATTATTCAAATTAACTACAACATAATATTTAAGGTAAAACATATTAAATAATAAATATAATTATATAATTATAATTAAAAAATAAATTTGGGGCTAAAAAATCATAACAAAATGATATTGTTTGGTTTAATTTTTTTTTTTAAACAATCTCACATTGCTAAGAAACATAAAAGAGCATCCCAAAAGTCTAAAGAGTAAAAATATGAGAACAAATCAATCCCACATTGCTAAGAAATATAGAAGAGCATCACAACTAACTTCTATAAATAATAGAGGTAATTTGGCATTCAAAATCATGGAGCCTTTTGGTGAGCATTGAGTGAACTATTCTTTCACTTCAATCAAGCTCGAATTTTAGGCTTCAATTGAGCTTCTAATTTTTTTTTAGTTCAAGCCTTTTTGAGTTCAAGTTTTAATATTATATTTCGAGTTCGAGTTGAACTTGATAATTTTTAACTTGTGAGTTTGAGTGAAGTTGAGCTTACTTTTAAAGTTTTCAAGTTCGAGTCGAGCTCAGCAATACTTGAGTTCGACTTTACTTGTTTAACAAATGACGTTTGGTTTAATTTTTTTTTTTAAAAAAAAAACAAAATTCCCGGTTTTTTCCGGTTTTCAGCTGGTCCGGTTCGAATGGTTCAGCGGTTCTGGCCGGTTCACTAGTAGCAGTTCAACCGGTTTACATTGAACCGGACTAGGCAACGGTTCCCGGTTGAATCAGTTGAACCGACCGATCCGGTCCAGTTTTCAAAACAGAGCTTATGTGAATGAATTTTTTTATTAAAATATTTTAAATTTTAATATCTGGATTTAATAATTTTTAATTCAATTTTTAAATTTGCATTAAATTTCTAATGTATAAATTATCAATATTTAAGCATTAATGCATTACTTTAAAATATCTAAGATTTGCATTATAATAAAAATGGTAAATTTCATGTTTAGTACTTAAATTATAGGTTTGTTCCATTTTAGTACCCAAACTTTATTTTTTCAAAATTATACCTAACATTTAATTTAGATTTTAATTTGGTACATGCTGTTAAAAAATTAACAGAACTACTGACATGACATGTTTAAAAAAATTCAATGATTACATGATATTACATTATGGTGACATGTCAACATCAACGTTAAATTTTTAACGACGATACTAAAATGAAACATAAATGTTATGTATGATTTTGAAACAAAAATAAAGTTTGAGTATTAAAACAATATAAAAATAATAGTTTAGATACTAAACATGTAGTTTATCCTAAAAATAAAATTTTGTTATAACTTTGTAGAAGAAAGAATTTGACTTTTTGCAGTTAATAAAAATTTGAGATTAAATTATAATTCACATCCCCTCTTGAATGAAATGGTGTTTATTTTTGTTGACTTTAAATCTTCATAGATGAGTTATTTTTTACTCATTAAAGCACCAACTTGGTACTTTCTTTTTCCAAAATTAATAATTTAAAAACAGTATATTATTAATTGAATATTTCCTAAAAACTTTGATAAGAAGTAATTAAATTATCTTACTAAAAATAACATAAAAACTTATAAAAAGGAAAATATATATTTACTTTGATTGATTCAGTTTTTGGATAAGTTTTAACCCATTAATTATTCATTCATAAATTCTAGAATTCTTACCTTCTATTTAGTTGTAATAAAATAATATCAATTTTTAAATATCTATAGATGATTATAGATAATTTTATAAATAAATAAAATTAATATTTTAGATGCATTCCATTTTCTATATATCTATTTATAAAACATAATTAAAATTATTGATTAATTCTTAATTTTATTGTAATATACATGCTGATAAGTTAGTTTCTTTTTGGTGAGATCTTAAAGTTAATTCTTTCAAATCCATTTTGCATTAAGGATTTAAAATTGACTTTAATTGAGCAAGCACATTTGGTTGGTTGGTCAAACTGTTCTCTTATATTCTCTTAAGTAATGAATTCTAGATTAACTATGAGTATTTTCAATCCTTCTCGTAGAGTCTTTTCTTCCTCTCTTAAGATAAGATTAAGATTAAATTTGGGTAAAGTAAACAAATGATCCATTGACTATAAGATACTATTTTGTTGAGTCATCCGATTATTAAAAGTTAGAAAATGGTCCCCCTGACTATAGAGAGTTACTTTTTTGAGTCCCTCGACCATTTAAAGTTACAAAATGGTCACCCGACTATTCATTATGTTACAAAATGATCCGTTAAAAAATTAATGACCGTTTGAGCTAGATGTTAATATGTTGACTGAGATATGATAGTCATTTGAGATTATGAGATCAGATTTTATCATATCTCAGTCAGCAGATTAACGTCCAACTTAGACTAGCGTTAATTTTTTAACGGAAAAAACGAGTTTGGAACATAATGAATAGTCGGTGACCATTTTATAACTTTTAATAGTCGATGGACTCAACAAAGCAACGCTTTATAGTCGAAAGATCATTCTGTAACTTTTATTAGTTAGGGACTCAACAAAACATGTCCTATGATCAATGGACTATTTGTATACTTTACACATTAAATTAATAATTTATCAAAAAAATTGACCACTTAATTTATGGTTACAAAGTCACATATAAACTAATAAGAGACCGATCCATTGTTACAATGATTACTTTAATGTTGTTGACGAAAATAAAACTAGGTAACCGTGTTAAAATGATGTTTTAGTTTATATAAGTAACACAGATTATAAGTTGATCCATTAATTAAATATTCAAATGACAACAAAGGAAAATGATATTTATTTTGTTATTAGAACTTAACTAATTTACCAAATGAGATGTAAATATAAAATTTCCAACGATCATTCAATATGACGAACATTAAATTAAATTATAATATATTATATAAAGAGAGTTTATCGGCACGTGTTTCAACTTTCAATATAGCGAAAACATGTATATCTCAGTCTAACAACCTTTTCTTTTGTTCTTTTGCTCGGAAATGTTCCTAACTACATTTTTTATATATATATTTAAAGATATTTATTTTATATATAAGTGTATTAAAATATGTCAAAGATCCTTATACTATTTCAAAATTTAAAATTTAGCTAACATTATTTAATTGTACGACATTGAGTCCCAACAGTATTTTAACTTAATTTCTCAGTCCGTCTACTAATTTCTATTCAATTTTACGATTAACTGTTGATCTAATAACTATAAAAAAATAAATTAACTTTTTTAGTTATCTACATTTACAGTTTTATCAATTTGATCCTTAGAAACTATAACTCTATATGATTGAAAAATTATGTTGTTTAATCAATGAAAAAACAATGCAAGGATTCCTTGACAAAAAATTAAAGTATATGAACTAAATTTTGTTTTGAAATAGTAAAGGAACACCTAAATATTTAAAACCGTTAAATATTTATTTATTGACCTAATGTTTGGGTATACTATTTAGATTTTGATATATAAACTAATGTGAATTAACATGATATTTTTTTAATAGTCTAGAGTAATATAATGCAGTATATGTTTAGAATTTTTTTTAGACATTAGCAACTTAAGTCGCATTTGCTTGAATTTGAGACCTTTTAGAATAACAATATTTTCTTTTATCATTAAGACTATTTAATTAGTTCGTGAATCATCATAATATTTAGTATTAAGTTTTTCCTCTAAGAAATAAGATAAAGAGAGATTTTAATTATGATTTTATTGAAGATTTATAATTGTGTAGTCATGGATTTACTTCTCTTGAAAATTTAAAATTATCATATATTTTAGATTTTCTATATATTTTTCTAAAAAATCGATTTTTATTTTTAAAATTTATTTTATCTTAAAATTTTAAAAGTTTACCCTTAATATAAAGTTGCCAAATTAGCCCATTGTTTGTAGTTCATGTGGCAGTCAATTTAAATACACGTCAAGTAGCTAGGGAATCAATTTAAAACAAGAATAATGTGCCCACTGTTTCCATTAAAATTATTAATCGAAAAAAGAAT